GAGTGACATAGCCATACTTTTGTGAAAAGGTATCAAAACATCGGCACAAGTGTATCAAGATACCATTCTTGAGAAGGTAGTGAAGCCCCTTAACAACACCATGCTCAATAATCAAGAATGGTCCTTCATCAGAGAGACTTCATCAGAGCTGAAGACTGGCCGTCGTCTAGTCCCGATCTTAATCCGCTGGATTATGATTTATGGTCAGTTTTAGAGAGTACGGCTTGCTCTAAATGCCATGATAATATGGAGTCCCTAAAACAATCCGTACGATAGGCAGTGAAAAAATTTCCCATGGAAAGAATGCGTGCTTCTATTGATAACTGGCCTCAACGTTTAAAGGACTGTATTGCAGCCAATGGAGACCACTTCAAATAAGCTTTTTATACTTTAAATTGTTTTATATTTATGGATTAAACTAACACACTGTAAAAGTAATAAATGTTATTTGCAATAGATTTTTTTTTCCTTATATCAGTATTTATGGCAAGACTAGGTATTTATCACCCCCCGTATTCGCCAGACCTTGCTCCAACGGACTACCATTTACCATCGTGATTTGGACAATTTTCTACGTGATAAAAAGTTTTCCTGCCTCCTGGCAGTACAAAATTTTGTAGTTGTAGTTAGTACAAAACAGTTTGTAGAATCTACAAAACGAATTTCAATTTTTCGAATACTTCAGGCCTCTTAGGTATTGAATTTTTCCCTACCGAAAAATTGTCCAAACTTTGAAAAAAGTAGAAAGCTGTCGGCGTATCGTCTGGCGACTACCTACGGTGAGTGACAAATAACTTCTAATCCTATTTCTTGTAGCTTAGAGTTCGTCTGTTGTGCAGTATAAGTATCCAGCGTTTTTCTCTAGGAACAGTAGGCTGCAGAAGGAGATTCGGTCCTATTGCAAGATTTCACATAGGGAAAAAAGAAATGGACCACAGAAACAATAAAAAACTGCTCAGGTCCGGTGACATACAAGGTAACAGCAGATGACGGGCACAAATGTCACATATTAAGCATAGCACTCAGACCCAACTAAGGTCACGAGCGTTGCAACATGAAGTCTCTGTTTAATGTCGTTGAGTTCCATTGAATTGTTTTACACGACGAATGTATGTGTCCCAATTTTGAGATGCCATATCAAAGCTTTCAACTTTCCCGATCGGCATTATTACAATTTAAGAGAAAGCACGCGTCGAAAATGTTTTTAAATGACCTCGTCGCCAGTTGTTGTGTATTACAAATGAAAGTCGGAATCCCAAAGCAGATTTCGTTTTAAGGGATTTTATGACCTGGTAACTAAGACCTTTAAGTCGTGTCTTATTTTAATTTATATTCATATTTTTATGAAAAATGATATTATGGATTGAAATGAAATGAAAATGATTAATTTGAGACATTAATCAACTGGGGATGAAATTTAATGAAATGATATGGGATGAAATATAATCTCAGTAAAATGGTAGTCATTTACTAAGATTTTTTCAGTGGACTTTTTGAAGGATCCCGAGAAGTTACGTCCAGCGGCTTTGTTTCATTTTCCCACATTTGTGCACTTTCACAGATATTAAACAGTTAATAAACCACCATTATTACACATTTAAACCTGAAGAAACACTAAATAGACAAAATAAAACAAATCACACAACTTCATTCCTCGCGTTCCCGCCAAAAAGTCCCCAAAGCAGACTGATTTATTTTTGCAACTACCTGCCCTTTTATAATGTGACTTAATATCTATACATAACAACAGTATAGTACTTTACTTTATTACACAGTAGAGATTCGTTGGTTCCATACCCTTAGGAGTGGCAGCTTAAGGTTGTGATTTATTTGGGTCCTGAATACATGTAACATCAAGTAGAAAGAAGGACAGCTCGTTCGTCCATGTAGTGCAACATAGGTGTGTAAAGTGGAATTTTACCTAAAGATTGCTGGTGTACCGGAAGGAGTTCTGTAACTTTTGGTTGCGAAAATGTTTACAAAACATTTCAATAATGATTGAATGTATTGAATGGAATGATGATTCAAAAGAAAATGATTTTGACAATATATTACATAAATTATAGGTTGGGGAAAAGTCTTTTATAGTATGTATGAATTTGTAATAAAATCTCTTTGGCTATACTACTTAAAGAACTGGGAATTGACCACAAATAGTTGTGGTGCATTTGAAAAAACTGGATACACAAAAAAGGTCGATATTTGTGTACCTCACGAGCTCACTGAAAAAAACCTAATGAACCGTGTACTCATTTGTGATTCTTTATTACGACGTAATGAAACCGAACCATTTTTGAAGAAGCTGATAACTGGTGATGAAAAGTGGATCACGTACGATAAGAACGTGCGAAAAAGATCGTGGTCAAAGGCCGGTCAGGCTTCACAGACTGTGGCGAAACCCGTGTTAATTCGCAACAAGGTGACGCTGTGTGTGTGGGGTGGGAAGAGCATTATTCATTATGAGCTGTTACCATTAGGCAGGGCCATCGATTCTGAACTCTACTTCAAACAACTGATAAAATTAAAGCAAAAAATAGAGAGAAAGCGGCCGGAACTAATCAACAGAAGGAGGGTGGTTTTTCATCATGATAACACCACACCACTCAGCAAAAATTAAGGGAGCATGGCTAGGAAGTGTTAATGCATCCGCCGTATAGTCCTGACCTTGCACCTTCAGATTTCCACCTGTTTCGGTCTCTTCAGAATTCTTTAGGAAGAGTCAGGTTAACATCACGAGAGGACTGCCAAAACCAAAATCAATTTTCGCGGTATTTTAATCAGAAGACCCAAAAAAATTTATAGTAACAGGATCATGTCCCTGCCTACAAGATGGCAAAAACTTATCGAACAAAATGGTACCTCCATTCTTTAGTTAAATGTAAATAAACTATTAAAAATGTTAAAAAATGCAAAGAAACTTTTTCCGCGACCATCATACAAACGTACCTAAGAGGCCACGAAATTTATCTGGTTTGATAAGGGGTTAAAGTATGAAATTCCCGATTTGTATTGAAAAAATGTAATTCGTTTTTTTTTTTATTTAACATATTTATTTAATGAAAATGTCTACCATTATTATCTATACATTGCTGCCATCTAATAGGGAGGTTATTTATGCCTTTGCGATAGAACTCTGGTGAACTAGATTCTACAAACTCTGTGAAAGTATTATGTACTGCCTCCTGGGAAGAAACCTTTTTATCACGTAGAAAATTGTCCAAATCACGGGAAAAAATGGTAGACCGTTAGAGCAAGGTCTGGCGAATACAGAGATTGACGAATGGTTTCTAATTGTAGTTCCTATAGAGTTAAAATGGTTTCTCGTGCTGTCTTAGGTCTCGCGTTATCATGGAGCAATAATTGTGAAGATCGATTCATGAGTCGGGGCTGTTTCACTGCAAGTTTTGCTATCATTCTTCGGAGTTCGGCATAGTAGACACCTGCCGTTATTGCTGCTTGACCAGACCGGAGAAAACTATAGTGAATAAAACCATGCTGAGATCACCTAACAGTTACCATTACCTTTTTATTGGTTAGGTTTGCTTTAGACACACTGACACTGTGGCGACTTTTAAACTGGGGTCAGACACTGCATTTTTCGTTTACGGTTATCGTAAAGAATCCAATTTTCATCACATGTCACAATTCGATCCAATATTCCTTCATTTCTGTATCGATTCAACAAGGCAACACAAGTTTCAACACGCGTTTCTTTCTACAGATCAGTCAAATCATGAGGCACCCATTTTTCATAAAAAAAAAATATTATTGATTAGACGCAAATGACTCAATATTGTTGGTAAGGTAACGTTAAACCATACCGCTAATTCCTGGGTAGTTTGGCTCGGATCAGCTTCCACCATCTCTTTCAATTCATTGTTATTCACATGTGTGGGTGGTCTTCCACGTGGTTCATTCTTCAAATCAAAATTTCCATCACGAAAGCGTTTAAACCCAAATCGCACGGTGCGTTCATTAGCAGTCCCCTTTGCAAATGCAACATTGACATTGCGACCTGCTTCTGCAGCGTTAGTTCCGCATCGGAACTCGTATTCAAAAATTACTCGAATTTCAAGTATCCATGTCTCTTTTCTTAGCCGAATAAAAAAAACATCTGGAAATTGATAATCGAAAGTTGCACATTTTTTAAAACAGAACCTATTGGTACCACTTGAAAAAGTTTCACTAAAAAATCTCGAACCATGAAAGTTTTATGTCAATTCGAAGTACCTTTTACAATAAAACGGCAGTTTCATGCTTTAACCGCTATTAAATAAGTTATTCATATTCTTCAGTTAATCATTGAAAATAATCACTCATAGAATCATTAGTCTGATAACTACTATGTAAAAACATGAAGAAAAATAAGCGTTATACAATACAATTATTATGATGCCATTTGACATTTTATGATAACATCCTATTATAGTAGGATATAAAAGCACAAAGTTGTTTTAGAATTCACATAGTAGGAGCTCAATGGTACATGTGAGGTGAGTGTTATTCTTGAATATTATAAAACTAATTCATTTTTAACATCAACAATTTCAAATATTTTCGGTTTTTTATCAAGATTATTTATTAACATAGATACATATTCCATATATTGCCGAGATAGTAAAATAGAGCAGTTAATTTTTAAAGACGAAACCATTAGTCGATCCAATTTAAATTTTCATTTTAAAATATTAACTATTCTAAAGCAACGTTCCGTTTCGCGGGGCAACAGTAGCCAAAGGGAAGGTAACTCAGGTCCGTGCCGCGACGACCCACCCCGCGCTACCCGCGCCCGCTCATCTATTTGCACCCCCTGGTGGTAGTGCGCGCCAGACAAGTGTATAATCTATGCGCCAGACTTTGAAGCAGCAAACACGCGTCCCCGGTCGATACCGCAACTGACAACTCGAGAGTCTCATGCCAGTCGGGTACTCAACATTAAACTATATATTTTTTTATGTAATTATTTCAGCTAACACTGTTTTTTTTTTGTTGCAGGCAAGATGGCGTTCAAGCATTTAGCAGTGTTATTGACGTGCATGTTGGCCGCTGCAGCTAATGCCGTCCCCGGCGCAGTTGAAAGCACAACGACCCCAAGCGTGGACAGCTCTACCAATGAACTTCCTGAATCCCTGACGACCCCAAGCGCTGACAACTCTACCATTGGACTGTCTGAGCCCCAGTTTTCTTCAACCTATCGAATGGTCCATGACCTCTACAATCTCGTTGCTTACGAAAGCTACGACCTAGCGGCTTCCCGAGCCTTAGACCTTATGCGTAATAATCGACCCGATGTCATTAAATCAGCTGTCGACTTGTTAATTGAACACAAAAGAACATTTATTGCCCCTTTCGCATACAAACTGGGGGCTGCTGGAGGCGAAGATATTGTAAAGTCCCAGTTTCCCACGGCGTACAAAATGGTACTAAGCGATCATTTTTTTAAATTAATCAACTACCAAGATCGTTGTTCCTTTGAGTTAGGTCCAACTCCAGACTTTGCCAATGACAAGAGGCTCTACGGCAACAACGAACGTCCGCATAGCCAGAATTACCATTGGAAGCTCGAGGCCGTCGAGGACGATGGCAAGATTTATTTTAAGATACGTCACCGCCTAGAAAATAGGTACTTGAAGCTGGGCAACTCCATGGACCGCGACGGCGACTATCAAGCGTTTGCTTCTGCAAACTCAGACTCGAACAGGCACCTGTGGTCGTTCCAGCCTGTGATGTACAACGGGGAACTCTTGTTCTTCGTTATCAATCGTGCGCATTACCAAGCGCTGAAGCTCGGCCGAGGCGTATATCACGGTAATCGCAACCTTTTCGGTCAAGGTGGAAACTTTGCCAACCACCCTGAACTTTACGGCTGGACCATTCAAGCTTTCGAAGTTCCAATTTTGTAATTATCAGGGACTAGAAATCCACGTTCGAAATTAATAATTGAATTGTTGAAATTTTTGCATTCGATCGCAACACATCTGTTTGTCTATTTCTATATAAAACCACATACCTACTACTATACTACATTCCTTTTCGTTTTCCTCTTTATTAGAAAATTAAATAAATTCATATGAAATAGATTTTTTGTTTGTTTCAAACTTTTTTTTGTTCGGCCTAATCTTGGTAGCCTAATAAGAGGCTATTCCAACTTCAGCTCACGGGCTCGACCTGAGAAAATTGCTAACACTAGTCCTAGCAAGAGCAGATTCAGTTCAGCTTCGCTGAATCTACTACCGAATCAGAATCGTGACCCACCGAGAAAATCCGACAGAAACTCAGAGGGTTGTGTTTCTGGGCTAGTTTGCATGTCGAACTCTTCGTCGGAGTCGACTAGTTCGACGAGGACGGTGACCTTGAAGAGCCTAAAAGTTCTAAATTTAAGTCGTCGTGAAGATCTACATTCCTTACATCACGGTGCTCCGACGGTTATCCTCCAAAAACGGGATTGCATGACACGGAGAGAGTTAAATGTGTGTACGGGCCGCGTGAGCGAATACTACACTTGGATAGGTCATTACGGAACGTATGCAAGTTTTGTAGTGTGACTGACACCTTGCAGATCATGGGGTAGAGTCGACAGAGCAGGCTCGGTGGTGTACTGACTTAATGTGGGGACCGAATGTCATTCTTCTGTCAAGAGTGACGCCTAAGTACTTAGCCTTGGCAGCAGGGCCTAAGTACTCAGCCTTGGCAGCAGGGCCGGATTTAGACTTCATGCCGCCGAATTTACCTAAGCTTATAGTTAATATATTTATTTTTCAAAATTAAAATAACTAATTTATTGCAGAAACTTTATCATATGTTATATATTCCAAAAACATAAATAAATATTTGTCTTTTTTTCTAACAATTATAAATTTTGTACTAAGGGTGACTCATAATTATATGACATCAAAAAAAAACAATTAAACTTTAATTCCAGAAAATGGAAAAATCGATTATTATTTTAAATTTCCAAGAAAATAAATTGATTAAATCATTTTGATTATTAATTTTTACCAAGTGCCAAAATTATAATTCCCAAATAATGGATGAATTGAATTTACTGAATTATCAATTAAACAGAAAATTTAAATTAATAGAAATAATAGCAATCTTGATAGGACTAAAAAAAATTTTACTTTGAAAAATTTGCCGCCCAAAAATATTTGCCGCCCTGGGCACTTGCCCCGACTGCCCCTAGTGTAAATCCACCACTGCTTGGAAGCCCATACCGTGGGCTGGCCCAAGATTTTTATCGCGCGAATGGAGTTACCGAGCTTACTTGTTGACGTGTAACCCTCAGACACAGCCCACTGAGTTTCTCGCCGGATGTTCTCAGTGGGTCGCGGTTCCGATCCGGTGGTAGATTCTGCGAAGCACGGCTCTTGCTAGGGTTCGTGTTAGCAACGTCGTCAGGTTCGAGTCCCGTGAGCTCACCTACTAGTAAAGGTTCCGTTGAAATAGCCTCTCAAGGCTATCAGCTTAGGTTCAAAAAAAAAGTTGACGTGATACTGGCAGTAGTGTCAGGAGGGCGACCCCATTTGAAGAGCACGGCTGTGCTTTTCGTAGGGTTGGTGTCAATGCGCCATTTCTGGAACCACTATCCTAAATTGGTGGCCGCGATCTGGAGTTTACTATGCATGAACGACATCTCCCCTACTCGGGCAGTAGATAGATAGCCGTATCATCGGCGAAGAGGGCTAGCTGATTCGCTGGCGACCGGGGTATTCTTGTACCTTTAAACGATCAATTCTTGTATAATAATATATAATATACTAGCTGACCCGGCAAACGTTGTCTTGCCATATATAAGATTTCCAGAGAATTTCTAGTGTAGAAAAAAAATTACTAACTTATTGGAAGTGTAGGTATAAGGATGTGGAATATGAGTGAAAAAGGCCTGGAGCGCTGTGAACGATGAGGGAATGTTGTTTAAAAATAACAAAACACCAAACATTAAAAAAATATTTGTACAACTATTGAAAAAGTGTAGGAAATTGTGTATCATTTTTGCATTGACATTTTAATTAAATTTTATAATTATGTATGTGATAATACTTACATACATATATTCAAATTAAATTATAAAGTTTTGATCAATGAAGCACAAATAAGTAAAAAACAGGATTAATTTCACTGTATTATCTTCATTATAATATGAATGCAATTTACACTTCAGTCTAAGTAACATGTGGCCGGCTATGCTAACACCAAAAATTTAAAAAGTGGAAATAATTGAATTATACGGTATTTCGTTCATTACAAAATAAATTTAATTAATTTTATAACGTCAACAACACGTGGTAATTATGCTGTTAAAATGTAGCTTATATGACACGTTCGTAGATTTACCATAGCAGCGCCATCTATTGATTACTTACTCAACCCAGTCGAAAGGTATCGACATCTGTTAGAATCATTTGGAGTTAACAGATAATTGTGACTGTCAAATAATAACAGACAAATAATTAGCAATAAATTAAAATTGCGACTATAANTATTGTTGGTAAGGTAACGTTAAACCATACCGCTAATTCCTGGGTAGTTTGGCTCGGATCAGCTTCCACCATCTCTTTCAATTCATTGTTATTCACATGTGTGGGTGGTCTTCCACGTGGTTCATTCTTCAAATCAAAATTTCCATCACGAAAGCGTTTAAACCCAAATCGCACGGTGCGTTCATTAGCAGTCCCCTTTCCAAATGCAACATTGACACTGCGACCTGCTTCTGCAGCGTTGGTTCCGCATCGGAGCTCGTATTCAAAAATTACTCGAATTTTCAAAGTATCCATCTCTCTTGTCTTAGCCGAATAAAAAAAACATCTGGAAATTGATTATCGAATGTTGCACTTTTTTTTTAAAAGAACCTCATCGGTACCACTTGAAAAAGTTTCACTCAAAAATCTCGAACCATGAAAGTTTTATGTCAATTCGAAGCACCTGTTACAATAAAACGGCAGTTTCATGCTTTAACCGTTATTAAATAAGTTATTAATATTCTTCAGTTAATCATTGAAAATAATCACTCATAGAATCATTAGTCTGATGCCGGCCACTGACATGCGCGCAAATATTCGTACATTATACGAATGTTTGCGCGCATGTGAAGGGCCGTCAAACATTCATTCGCAACCCTAACGGCTAGGCTGTGCAAATGGGTTTGCATACTCAATTTGCGAACCCGTTTGCGCTTCCTCCTACACTTGTTTACGAATGTCTCACGAATTTCTCCTCCTTTTTAATTCATCAATAGAACATTGAAAAGAAAAAGAGTTTTGAATTCTTTCCCAGACATAATTAACAGCCATGCTGTTTTTATGGGATTTCTTTTGATGAAGATACGCTACACAGTAGACGTCACGAACTATGAAAATGGCGATACGTCCATTACCTTCGCAATCGTCGGCGCAACTGGGCAAGCGAATGTGTGGGAGACTACGCGAAGGTTCGAGGTTCGCGCGCTTTGATGTCTGTTAAAAAACCGACACAGCTTGGAAAACCACGAATGCAGCGAAAACTTTGCATAATCATTCGCAAATGTCGTCCTACACTTGCGGGTTTGCGTATTCGTGCGCATGTGAGTGACCGGTGTGATAACTGCTACGTAAAAACATGAAGAAAAATAAGCGTTATACAATAAAATTATTGTGATGCCATTTGACATTTTATGATAACATCCTATTATCGTAGGATATAAAAGCACAAAGTTTATAGAATTCCCATAGTGGGGCCTTAATGGTACATGTGAGTTGAGTGAGGTGAGTGTTATTCTTGAATGTTATAAAACTAATTCATTTTTAACATCAACAATTTCAAATATTTTCGGTTTTTTATCAAGATTATTTATTAACATAGATACATATTCCATATATTGCCGAGATAGTAAAATATTTTTTTATTTTTTTTATTGCTTAGATGAATGGACGAGATCACAGCCCACCTGATGTTAAGTGGTTACTGGAGCCCATAGACATCTACAACGTAAATGCGCCACCCACCTCGAGATATAAGTTCTAAGGTCTCAGTATAGTTACAACGGCTACCCCACCCTTCGAACCGAAACGCATTACTGCTTCAAGGCGGAAATAGGCGGGGTGGTGGTACCTACCCGTGTGGACTCCCAAGAGGTCCTACCACCAGTGAAAAATGAGCAGTTAATTTTTGAAGACGAAACCATTAGTCGATCCAATTTAAATTTTCATTTTAAAATA